ACCTACTATTATTAAGATTTTGATCAGAGTCTAGTATAATTTCAGTTCTAGTTCTGATAGACTCTGGTAGAATCTCAGCGACATTGAGCAGATTCTGCCAGCTAGTACATTCGTAACGAAGAACTCATTGTATAAGTTAGGGCACGTGACACTGGAATATGAGAGTGAGAAATAATTATACGAGTTCTGCGGAATTCTAGAATTTCTACGGAATTATGAAATTTGACACTACTCGATTTTTTATTCACCTTACCCTCTCCATTTATTTTGTCAACAAAAAACAATCGATTCTAACGTACTTGATATTTCCTAATCCGTTTTTTGCACGGTTCATGTCAAGGTTAAAGTATGAATACTATTCTTTGGCGTTATTTGTGAAAAGGTATAAATATACAGTCATTATACATTATCAGGTCAGGTCCTTGAAAATGTCAGCAAAACAGGGATGAGTAGTTTTAAGTTTAAATTTGCCTCTAACATTAAATATAAAAGAATACAGACATTGATGAATCGTGCAATAGCAAACGAATTACAGAGCTAACATATTAAAGTAAAGGTATTTTTCGTCAATCATAAGCAGTTCTTACCTTCACATTTCTCCAAGATATTATCAGTCATTCTTTCTTGTTCATGATAATTATTTAACACAGCTGGAAATGGCCGTTGCCGTGTATAAAAAAAACTTAGGAATTACAACCGACAATATCTCCGAAAGCAGTATGCCAAATTGTTCAGCCGAAAATGAGACTCCCTTTTTATTAAAATATGGACCCATAATAATTCGACCTAGACAACGTCCTGCACCAACCATTGCTACTGGTAGAAGATCAAAAACTGTACAATTATCTCCAAATGAAACAGTTCGACGAGATATACGTCGAGTACACAATCGTGCTGCTCAAGCAAAAGCGGCCATTAAACGTCAACATATCGAAGATACGTTGAAGGTACATATTGAATTACTAGAAAAACAATCAGATTATTTAGTGAGGGATATTAATGCACTGGAATCTCAAAAGTCACACTTAATAACTCTTTTAGCAGCACATGAACTAACTTGTGAAAAACATAAAACTATTCTTGAATTTGAGAAATATCTAAATAATTGTGATCAATCGGATTTTATGGATTTACACTTCTTTCGTACACATGATTACCTAACGTTAGACGATCTAAGAAACAATATTTGGAATTTCATTATTAGTTCAACAGATGGTTCTCACATGGATACATTGGATAACTTTTAATTTCTGTTTGACATTGCTTATACCTTTTCTGCTGCGCAAAGTAAAACTGAGTCAAATTACTTCACTCGTATTAAGAACGGACTCTTTTGCTCTCTTAGCTTCCAATGATTTAAGCTAGTATACCAGCAGGCACACATCTGAAACGTCATGTATTAGTCATCTGATGTTTTTTCTTTTAGAGTGGTTCTGTTTTTAAAAAATGATTAACTACTCACTGTTTACGAATCGTAACAAATGAGAAGTACGGAGTATTTTGTCTCTGAACACCAATCTTAGGTTAAAACTTCTGACATATAAGAGCAGAATTCGAGGGATAAAAAATTTACCGTATTTATACAAGGTTCAGAAACTGGTAGTACGAGGGTGATGTGTGATAAGCATTTGTTATGACCTGCATGGTACTCATTCAATATGCTTGGCATGCTAGTGAATACGTGGAGATTCATTCTGGAGATTTTCAAAATGTTGTCGACTGCTACTCTTTCAACTCGTCTGTGTGTGCAGAAAAGAAGTGTTCAACTCCTGGTTTTATCCGATATTCGTGGTGTCAGAAGATGTTATGTTTTCAGCACGTCTATGCTAGCTGTATGAAAAATTTCCCCACTTAAGTCATTAGGATGACACAGAAATTTTTTATACAAAAAATGAAAAAATCGTCTGTTTTGTAATGAAATGTCGGTATCTTGGAAATGAAGGGTCATCAGCATGAGCGGTTTTAGGGTTTTCTTAGTCTCATCAAGGTCTACTTATGGCCAAAAGATGGAGTCGAAAGCGACGAATCAGTTGGAGACAGTTCACTCGTCAGATCGGAAAACAGAGTACTCCGAATTTTTTGCTCATGTCCACCTGAATGCATACTGTGTGGTGACTCTAAAATAGACAAAATCGTATTTTATGAGACGCGGATGATCGCTTTCTACATCGTTTGATCAGTTACAATGTGATTCTTAGATAACTTGTGTAATCGTATAAACAACTGATTTTGCTGTATGATATTTGCTGTATTTTCAAGGGTATAGCCAATAACTGATGAGGGCCATTGCATTAAATCTTGACAGATAATCCAAACGAACAATATTTGTACTTAGTTTATTACATGACTTTATCCGATGGGATCATGTCATTATAACTTTACCGTTGTTCGCTCAATTTACTTTTGTCCAAAGGTAAACTCCAAGGAAAAGTAATGCAAATCCTTAAAGTCTGACTTTATCAACTTCTAGTCACATGTATTACCCTCATCCTGAAACCAAACAAATGAATGAATGAATTTTATCTATGCTAAGGCAGGATATCGTAAAAAAGTATAAAAGACTTGTGGCATACGTGAACACACTATGGTAATCTAAAACTAAAAGTTTAATCCAAGAAGAACCTATTCTATACATATACATAGAAAACTGTTTTCGAATATGACCTTATTTTTTCTTAAAAGTGTTTCTGGACTAAAAAGAATGGATTTTACCTGAAAAACCAAGAATTTGGGAAAACCTGTAGCGAAGTCCAAGAAAGATGGAGCAAATGTAATTGATGTGGAGTATGCAGACCTTTTCCAGTAAAAGCTAGCTAGATAGCTGTCTAGATTCAAAATTTGGATTATTTTTATTTTCAAATTTGCCGGATTTAATAAAAACATTTTATGGCACACCTATGTGTTTTCAGGCTCAATTTTAGCCAAGTTTTTCCAACGATTCTTGGTGGTTGAATCGAGCCTTTTTATACCAATAAATACCTCATCGATTAAAATATATTTTCCATTAAATAAATTTGGAAAAAGCGTACTTTCGAGTTTTTTACTAAACGGTACTATCGTTTCCCACTTTGCGCCCTTCGTCAAATAGAAGGTCATGTCCTTCTATTATGATTTCGCATATCAAATGTTTTTTTTGAAAAAATCACGCTACAGGGCAGGGTAATTCTACAAAAATTTTGTTCTAGATCTTCTATTCACAGTGTCCTTCTTTATAGGGTGACCTATTAATCGAGGGTGGATTTAGTTACAAAAAAACGCTTAGTTCATTAAGAAAGATGTAACACTAAAGAAATAGAAGAAAGAGTTCGACTAAAGTACAATGAACAAGAAGAAAACAGGTCTTGAATAAGGAGAGAGTCCAACAGATCACAACAAATTTCATGTACAAGAGTTGCAGATGTTGTCTGAGAATAATTTTGAACAGTTATCGTTATTGATCGTCTGTGCCATCGAAAATCTAGGGGACGATTTTAGACAAGAGAATGTTTTTTAGCTACCCGTTTATTCTGACATTTCGATCATATCGATGAAAATTAAGTTTATTGATAATAACGAACTATTTTCTTGATGTAATTTATAGAAGTATAAAAGACGTGAGAATTTTCGTCTCGTAGAGAGTTGATTTGACTCTAATTCTGTTAGAAGTGAGTCGGAGCTAAAAGACTAGTCTTTAAGGCAGCTAGTTTTGCACTCTGTCGAACACTTGCAGATGGATGACATATAACGGATCATACATAATCAAGTCATATGTAATGGCATTATGCATATACGTTTTGTAAAGATGTAAACAGAGTGAAAAGTGATATAAAACCCACATTTTCGGCTGTTGGAACAAATATGCTCGAGATAAATTTTCCAGATCAGATCATAGATCATCTAAATCCCCAGGAGTATTAGAAAATGTGTAAAAGAAAAGGTAAATTAGTATTTGAAACACTTAAAAACAAGATGAGATAATGTTTCATCGGGCGGATGATTTTTCTCAAGATGTGAGCATGTGCCACGTGATAATACTTCTTCCGTCTATCCTTGGTTAAAGTGAGGCGATGACAGCACTTACGAGGGATTGCCCCTCGCTTTTCCAGTCAGTTATATATTCCTTATGTAGAAAATACTTTCTTTCCTTCTGGTTTTAATTCTTGTTTTCTTTTCAAACATCTGTAACCGATGATTCTCTTACAATCTGCCGTTTCTAGCTTTTGCTTATCCCAAATGGATTATTTTATCCACTTCACCAGGTTCAGGTAACTATATGTCATCCGATATGCTTTCATTCCAAAAGATGTTTTGACCAAAAAGCAGGGATCCCAGATCCAAAACACGAAAATCAGAAAATAAAAGTCCAAAATCAGAAAAATCTGAGAAAAAGAAATAGAAAATCAGTAGGCTTTAGGGCAAAAAAGAGCAGAAAGGAGGCAGAAAAAGTCCTAAAAATCAGAAGATCTGGGATCCCTGCCAAATAGCTACACTACCATCATAAAGCGCTTTTAAGAGCAATACAGTCACGAATGAATATTAAGCGTACCCCTCCTCTTTTTTGCAAAAAACTTTTTATTTTGAGCTGAACATAGCCCAATGTAGAGAAAAGTCTGGGTTATAAAATGAGACCACCAGTTTCGCGAAGGATCATGTGAGGAAGTTCTCACGTTAGTTTGTGGAAGAAACGGTGAATAGATGTGAATATTAATTAAAATCATATTGCGTAGCTTGAGACAATGTATCTGAATGAAAACAAAATTCTTCTATTTTCTGCCTTTTAGTTTCACATCATCAACAAATTCGACAATGATTATTCTAACATTTTATTTGCTTGGTTTAAAATAAAATTTAAAAAAATAGCTAAAAATTTTAACAATAAAATTGCTGGCATAATTTTTAAATATATGTTTGTGTATCATTATTTACAGAACGAGTGAGTTATCCTCATAAGTTGAACGGAAAAAATGAAGTAATTCGAGGTAAAGAAATTTCAATGATCAACGTTATGATTCACAAATGAAGGCAAGAAATTCCAACTTTTTTTTTTCTTCTTATGATATTTTCCATATGTTTCCATACATTCACTTGGCTATCCAGGTTCGACGCTAAGAACAAAAAAGCAAAATTGACCCTTCAGCTCAAATTATGTCATGGATATAAAAAATGTGCTCTCATTTTTCAACATCAATGCCGGTAAAAAAACGAAATTGATATTTAACAGAATAATAACAGAAATAGTAAAAATATTCACTAACAGATGTATCTGATGATTAAATAGTATTAGACAGTCGTCTTTTTTTTAGACGAAATCACAGTTCTTTATCTTTGTATCATCATGCGTTTTTAGAAAAATATCTATTATAGAAATCAGTTTTCTTCAGAATGTTGTTGTTGTTGCTGCTGTTGTTGTCGTTGTTGTTGCTGCTGCTGTTGTTGTTGCTGCTGTTGCTGTTGTTGTTGTTGCTGTTGTTGCTGCTGTTGTTGTTGTTGCGGCTGCAGTTACTTTTGCCAATTCAACAGAAAATAAATCATCTTCTGACAATTTTCTGTCATTTGTGGTTGGAGATGTGGGAACAACTGGAACAGTATTGGTGATTGGGTTCAAACCTTTATAATGATTATTTCCGGTTGAAACCTCATCTGAATTTCGATTCACTTTGACTTTATCTACAACAGGATCAACTGGTTTCTCAGCAATTTCACCACTAAACAAGATAAAGTAAATAAATAGAAATACAATTATGCAGATTTTGTACTCAACATACATAACATCAATAACCCAATCACGAAAGAAAGGTAACAATTGATCATCCATTGCTGGCAAAACGACTATACGCTAAAAAAAAGAAAATTTTATGTTAATGATTCTATAGTTCAATGTAACACATGATCATCCCGTACGTTAATCGTATTATGATCGCAAAACTGTGTTTCAAGGACACAAACATTATCGAAGTTTTTTTGCTCACTTTTAGTCCTCCCTCTTAGTTTATTCATGACGTTCGACAGTAAGAAGGAAAGAAAAGGCTTAGTGACAAAACCTGCTGCTTCCCGTAAATCTTTCACATATCTCCCACAAGACTGTATACATCTGTTGTATGACAGATTTTTAAGAGAAGAAGTATGAGTGAGTAAAAGTATTTGATTTAATTATTATCTAGATAAACTTATAATTTTTTACTCATCTTTCTCAAAATTCGTTAGATCGCAGTTGAGAAACAAAGATGGAAACAAACAAAAAAGATTGTAGGAGTTTAAGACGAGTTACATAAATTCTGATAATCTAACGAACAACATAACAGAGACCGAAACGGATCGGATCGGATTCGGGTCAAATAAAACAAATATTTCAATTTTTCATGCTTTTTTCTGTGAAAAATCTAAAGTTATATCCTTTTTGTGGATGCAAAAACATTATTTTCAAGGTCTATTCGAGTCATGGAAAAAAAATTTCAGGATCAGGTTCGATCTCTGCAACATAACATCTTAAAAGATAATATTTGATCGAATTAACTTACTTTTAATTCGCTTTTAATTTTAGTTTCGAGATAATCTTGTATTAACGGATGAGAAAATGTTTTTTTACCAAATATTGGATTAACTTTCAGGTTTAAATCTGGTACCTCTGGTAATCCAACCCTAGAATAAAAAAATATCTGATTAATTTAAATGAATATAAAATTAGATTTTTATATTTTACCATATACGATCTGACGGTGGTGGAGGAATATTAACCTTAATTAACACTAACAACATTATACAACTATTAAAGATTTGACTAAGTAGAACGTACAGTTAAAATGCCAACAAAATCAGTCACTTCAATATCTGCACCAATGACTGTACCGGTTAATTTTTTGAATAAATCTGCAATCGGTGTGAAACCGATAAGCGTCTGAAACCATTTATTTTCAGCTAAGTTTTGTAATAGTGTACCAAGTTTACGTGTTGGCGCCCTATGATAATAATAAATATATATGACTTAGAAAAAAGTGAACGCCTGTTGACACTTACATTTCAGGTACTTCTGGTTCCATGGCTAATAATTTTTGTCTTGCCACTATATCATCTTCTGATAATGTGCCTTCTTCTTTATGTACTTTTTGTGAAAAAGCATGTTGTCTAAACATTGGTTCACCACTCCCACGATTATAGTTTATTAATTGATCTAATAATAATTTCGTTTTTATTGTTAATCTAAAAATCATATAAATATATACATATATATGTTGTCTATGTATAAGAGAAAACAAAATAGTAGACATACTTAATACTACCGTGATAAAGTAAGAAAACATTCAACCAAATTCCACGTGTATTCCATTGCATCGGTTCAACTTTCAGTATAACTGGATAAACGTGACCCAGATTCATTGATTCAACTTTAATTTCATCAAAAATCGCAAGCTAAATGTAGAGAAAGAAAAACAAAATCTAATCTGTAGTTTTGTTAAGATATTTAAGATTTTGAATGATGCTACTTCAAATGAACTCTTCGAAAGACACTTTACGAAATATTTAAACTATAACATAAACCATTTGAAAGTCTTAGAAAAATGAAATAAACGTAGGGATTTGCCATATGATCGATCACACACGACAATGGACAGTTTTCTAATAGCAAGTGGGCATCCGAGCTTTTTGCTCGTTGACCATTTTTTCATGACTAATTATCATTGCTTAGTCATCTCTCATACTTTCCAAGGATAAATGAAAAACGTTATCAGAAAAAGTGTTTGTTTTTTAGAAATATCGGTCTTACAAATGCATGGAAAGAAGCTTCGACTGATAGTTATTCGATCTAAAACTTGTGTTATACATGACTGGATGCAAATTGACGCGCTGATTTTGAATATTATCATTGTTTCTTACAAGTGTCCTTGGACTGAGAAAAATAGAACTGGACAGGAGTTTTTGGAAACCATACAGCCAGAGCGAGGAAAAGAGTTGCATCCAGTAAGCTACAAGTATTTGTATGCATCCCAATAGGTTTTCAGTCTAATTTCTGCCGAAGTATTTTCTCATGGTGCTTAGCAGTTAGAACAATATGGGAATAAATAGCGCATATTCTAAAGTATATTTTTCCTCACTTAGACTTGAAAAAAGTATATTTCAGTTTTTTTGTTAAATATCTGGATGCATACTGTGGGTTTCCAAATCTAAGTGGGAAAAAGTATACTTCAGGATATGCGCTATTTATTTCCATATTGTTCTAACTGTGAAACATCATAAGAAAATACTTTGGTAAAAATTAGACTAGAAACATGTGCTGGTTTTGAAGGCCGCGGAGAGAGCAGGAAGTGATTTAAAATTGCGAAGGACACTTGACCCTATCACACGCCATTTAACTTAAAAGTTGATTTTTTTTGTTTCAAGAGATACCATTAAAATAGGTATTTTCCGATTTTCTACTAAACTATAAAACATACATTGATATCTCATAATAGAGAGAAATGTTTCCTTATCAAAATCATATATCGAGATATGAGAAAATTATTGACTGCCACTTAAATACATAAATTTCAACATATATTGAAGAATCTTGCCTTGATTTAATGTGTGTACTCACAGCCGCTATTTCTTTTAATTTTGTTTCTGCTCTTTCTGTAAGTGCATCCGTAAATACTTTTGAATCGTCAAACATATCACAAAGTAAACGTCGTAAAATAAAATTCATTGTTATCGCTGCTTCATCTAAACAACTTGATGAATGTAATAGTTTTTCTAATGATGTTTCGTCTCGTTTCTTGGTTTGTTCTGATTCAATCGTTGCTGCGGTTCTTGATGTATTACTTAAATCTTTATCACCGAGATTCTGACTTGCTCCTTTGATTGTTGATGAATTATCTGCAGACTGTTGTTTATTAGCACTGTTCTTCACTTGTGAATAATCATTATTCATTCCAATACTTTCCGTTGATGAAATACTGCCAAACGATGATACAGATGCCAAAGTACTAAGTTTTTCTCTTTGTTCTTTCTCTACAATCAAAGAATTCTAGTTTTAGAAGTTATCTCAGAGATCTATTATCCATTTTTTGAATAACGCAATAACGAAAGGTGATAGAAACTTGCGATTTCTACCATTCGATGGGTCAAGATTTCCAACCTTGTTTCATAACGAAAAAGAAGTTGAAAAACATTAGTTCATTTATAATGTCATCGTTCTTCCCATCTTCTCTTGGCTCTATTTAATTGTTGCTTCCTCTCATTTCTTATGTTGACAAGCAAATGTCGTCACCAGCCTTTGTCGTCGTCACTAAACGAACGTTTTAAAAATTTATAATTTACTCGAAAAGCATCAGAATGAGTTGGAAACTTCAGAATGTGATCAACTTTGTCTGTCAAACGTGATTATACGATCACATAAATTGAAAAACAATTTTTTTGTTCAACGGTTTTCGGAAAATCATAAGATTTTCTAATTTTCTTTTTATAAATTTGCTATGAACAGGATATATAGTAGGATATCCTGAAGTTTTTAACTTGTTCTGATGCTTTTTGAATGAATTATGAATTTTTTAGGTGAAAACAGTCTGGATATCTCAATTTTCTTAAAACTCAATTTTCATTAGGTTTTTGAGTTCTTCTTTGAAAATAATCGTTGCCACGAGATTCAGTGTGATCAAAATTACGTATGTGTCTTCTGCTTTCAACCTTTCTCCAAGTTACTGAGCATCACTCCAGAAGCTTTTTGAAAATTCCATACCACGTCCGAGAATCAAAGTTTCGCTTGACTCCCATTTTAAAGCGGACACTGTGGGCTATTTACTCATGAAAGAAAACAATATATTGCTACCTTAACTTTTCCAGTCATAAAACGGTTTTTCAACGCCTTTTTTTGCTATAGAAAAACTGGTTGAATGCCTTGGCTATTGAATGGTAAAAGCTGCAAATTTCTATCACCTTTCGTTATTGGGTTATTAAAAGAATGGTCACCGACATTCTTTTCAAAATATGAATAATAGTTATACAACAAAAATTTTTGAAACATATCTCGCCTTGTGAGAAAAAGGTATATATACCTCTTTGAATGTTTAATGATAATTTATGAAACCATTTTTCTTTTTCTGGACCAGTTTGAAAAAACAATGACAAACATGTCGATGGATTTGAAAAGAATAGTTCTGTATCAAATTTTGTTTTATCCATAATTTGTCTATTTATTATTTGTTCTAAAACAATTCATCACATAGTTTTTATTTTAATTTTTAATGATAAATAAATTACTTACTATCTATTATTTGTAAGTTTTGAATAACAAGTGGATATTCAGGAAGCCAATATTTTGCACGAGTTAATGTTGATTCCGGTACAAGAAGTAAATCAGATTCTAAAATGAAAAAATTAACGAATTTGAAGAGAAAGAATATAAATAAGTTTGTTAGAATATCTTTTGTTTCAATAAGTAAATAATTGAGTGTCTTAACATTGAATATCTCAAATATGCATGTACAAAAGAAAACAACAACTAAATACCATTAACAAGATATTCTCTATAACCAATAAATTTCACTTTTTGTTCTTTCTTTTCTGATTCAGTAATCTCTTTTTCTGGTAATCGTATAATTAAACGACAATTATCCAAATGTATCATACATGGATAACGAACATATCTATCATCGTTATCAGCATCATAACGATCAAATATGATTTCAGCATAAGTCTAAACAACAAAAATAAAAATACATATTATTTTGAAATAGATTAAATTAAAAAAAAAAATAAAAAATAAACATACATCAGTGATAGTCGTTGTTTTATCTTCTTTTGCTGTTTTATCAGCTAATAATTGTTCCAATTCTGGAAATTCAACCCATTCACGAATTAACCTTTCATTTGCTCTATGATTAACATAAATTTTAAATAAAATATAAGCAATTAATGAAGGAAACATTAAACCAACGGTAAAACCACTAAAATATGATGACATTGGTCTCCAAAATGTTATTATTAATGCTACAATACCAATAATAATCTATGAACAATAGCAGAATGTTTAAAATTAGATTATAGATATACAACAGTTTTTTTACTTACAGATACTGAATATATAACTACTTCATTTGCTTTTTTTGTTACTTTATTTTGTTTTAATAATGTATCAGACATTCGATATTTACGATATTTTGGTTCTTGTAATAATACGGGTGGTGTTCGTCCAGTGACAATTGTTTCAGCTGTCATCTGATCAGGATCTATTTTTGTTATAACAACAGGTTTACCACCACTACCAATTATTAAATCTTCCCATTGATTATCACCATTATCGGATGGTGATAAACTAGAAGAATCGAGTGATGGTGGCGGAGGAACAAATGATGTTATTGAGCCTGTTGAATGTGAATAACGCACACGACCACCACCAATAATACTATCGGTCACACTGTCATCTATAAATAACAAATATGATTAAAATAATTATTCATTTTTGAAGATATAAACTTTGTCTATCGGCTAAGAATCGTTGCAAAAGACTACAGATCAGCTTTAGAACAGCAAAATTTTAGACTTAGGCTGAAACATACAGTATGTTAAATTTTCACACGCTGACACTGTTCTCTTAGAATAGATATACGTACTGTTTGCAAAGTAATGGAAATTGAATGAAATATGATTTGTTGCTTATGACCGGCTTTTACTAGCATCCAATGTTTTTTTAATACACCAAGTAATTTTAAGAAAACTAAAATGATATTTCGAATCTTTAATTAGAACTACGTCGAACGATGTTATGATCAGAACAATTTTAGAAATAAAAAATTTTTTTTGATAAAGTCTTATCTGCTGTCAACTCAGATAACAACTTTTTCCATGAAAGTTGCTATTTTATGTTGATCATCAACTTTAAAAAAGAGGTATGAAAGGAATTAACATTTTTAATATCATTTTGGTTTTGTTTAAGATTACTCTGCAACATTGACATCTGTATTTTGCTTGTTCAGAAGTTAATCTGATAGAATGCGGTCTCTATTTTCATGCAACAACTCTCTTTTGTTGTGGGAGTCAGATATCTTCTATCCTCAAAGCGGCCAAGTTCCAACTATTTCTGTTACACTATAGTGTCTGTAAATGTTTACAAAGAATAATTTGTAGAAGGTTAATATAGACACACGGTTTACTCCGATTTATAGGCAAAACTTAACCAGATCTATTTATAAAAAATTCAAGCTCAAGATATTACTTTTATATTGATGCCAATTTTTTGAACGATAGAATTCAATCGAATGACAATGTTTTTTCGAAAGAACAGGCAAACATTCAATGAGATAGTATTTTCAAAGAAAATCTGTTACATAATACAGCGCCTGTAGACATTTCTTTTTTAAAATAACTTTTGATAGAAAAAAAGGTGAAGACGTACGGTTTTCACCCGTTTCTAACATGTCGGAAATTCCAAGTTCGAGCAAGATGTTTTTGTCTGTTTATTTATATATGGTTGGTTAGAGCACACCGAGCTCTATTGATTTAGCATTAAAAACTGAGAATGATGCTTGCTTGATCGAGATTGAAGTCAAAGATCTATCTAGTATGGACGTTTTTCTCCCTGTCATATTGAATTGACAGAAATTGACTCGATTGAAAATTTAAGTCGTATGCTTGTATGCTTGTTTTTATCCTATCAAAACACTTCAATCTCTTTTTAATTTTCACATCGAAAGATTACTCAGATTAGCATCAAAAAATGAAAATTGACGAAAATTTTCAGAATAGATATCATTCAATTCAGCTTTTGACCCTAACTCTGAATATGATACTTTTATTACATAAAACGTCTGTTCTGATACAGAAAATTGAAAAATTCCGAGTTTTCCGCTTCTGATCTGGGAAAAATAAGTTTTCTCGGTGACGAAGAAAAAGTGATTGCTACCTTTAAAGCTATTTTAAGGGAGGTTCTAATGAAATGCAAAAATCGGCTTCATCTCTTCATAAAAAACCTAGATAGGTTTGCAAAATTGTTTATGAACCTTTTATAAGGAGAGTACAAGATGTCCATACTAGATAGACTTCTGACTTTAACCTCGATCAAGCAAGCATCATCCTCAGCTTTTAATGTTGAATCTGAAAAAAATACTTTCGAAAAGTTAGAAGACCGAAAAAGAAAACATCTGAACTATTTTGAAACCGAAGCGTTTTTCGAAGTTTTAGATCCTTCGAATTTTATCAATTTTCTGTATCAGAACAGACGTTTTATGTAATAAAAGTATCATATTCAGAGTTAGGGTCAAAAGCTGAATTGAATGATATCTATTCTGAAAATTTTCGTCAATTTTC